CAGAACAGACGCCACCAGCTTTGGTACCGCTGCAGCTTTAGAGATGCTTTGCTTCTGCCTCCCAAAGCCTTCCCGCTGGGGAAGTTCAAGACAGACAAATGGATGGCTGCAGGATTGCTGCAAGCCACAGTTTGATCTCAGCATGGTCACCAGCCTAGTGGCACACTGGCCAAGTGGCACCAGCTCCTCCACTCTAGGACATGCTTCTAGCTGCTGGGGGACAGTGGTGCTTTGGGGAGACAGTGGCACACAGGGGGACAAATAGTCAACAGCAAGTAGCTTTCAGCAAAAAAGCAGGTTTGGACAAATTCCTTTGTAACACTGCATTTCCTATGAACAATTTCAGCTTTCAGTAAGAACTTCAAAACTCTTGGCTTTCCAAGTTCTAAATGAAAACTTGACTTTGTCAAGTTATAGAAAAAAACTACAAGCATAGGCAGTTTATTTATTCACTACTTTTTTTTTTTTTTTTTTTCCTCCTGCCTTGCATGTCAGGAGTTAACTTGCATGACAAACATTTCAGCTATGCATAGCTTTTCATTCCCTACTCTATAGAAGAGAAGCCAGAGATAACACCCAGGACTCCATGCCCCTGCTTGCCCCATGGCAAGAACTGCCCTGCTCCCATCCTTTCCCTATAGCAGCTAACCCCAAAAACAATGGGGGGAAGCAAAGTGTTCAACTCACTGCTCAGAAGGGCTCAAAACACTAGGGAGCCATGGATATTTCTAGCTATCCCCTTACCTCCCAACAGCACACTCACTGCTGCAGGTGAAGCAGCCCCACCTCAATTTATAGGGAACACATGGTGCTACTGTGGGACTGGCTGCACTCATAGTGGTTACATAACCTGGGTTTGCTGTGGCACCTGGGATCTGGCACCAGGCCACCTGGGCGGTGGTGACCACCATGGATAATGGTCAAAGGGATTGTGGTGGTAGGAAGGACTGGTATGATCCAGAGGCATCCCAAGCTTGTTTGGGTGGTGGTGCCCAGCAAACTTGGAGAAGGTGAAGTAGCCACCAGCACAGCAAGGTCCTAAAGGCACAAAAAAGTGGAAATACTCTCCAAAATATCAATGTAACAAGTAGCATCATGCAGACATCTCCCAGGGGTGAATTATCATGGAGATTAGGGAGATAGAGTGGCTTGGGATGCAGCTACTTAATGTATTTAAGAGAGACTAGAAAAGAAAACATTAAACCCCTGTAGATGGGTGTGTGGGTACACAGAGGTCATGCAGGACTGTGACTTTAGGACAGCTATGGTTTAAGAAGAGACTATGAGTGTTTCTGCCCTGCCCCTCTCCCACCCATTCAAGATCTTGCACCTGCAGAAGTGTTTGCTAGGACTTTGCAAGAGAACATTGCGAATCCACAAGGGAAAACATGTTGTTCACATACTTCTTGTTCCCTGGATTCCTCAGCCTGGATTTTCAGCTGCTTTCTGTCAGTGGGACATCACTGTCCAGGCTTGCATACTGAAAGGAGAAGGCCAGGAGAAACCAAACCATCCTATACAGGCTTCTTGTTCTCTCATCGAGGCATTTTAGATGCTTCCCAGCACCAAGCAGGAGGATGAAATCCCATTCCCCTATTGCCCAGGGTGGGGAGGCTGCAGGAGTGGTGGGGACAGAGGAGGCTGTGTGCAGCTGCTGGTAGCAACATGCCCCTATTTTTTAGAGCTGGATTTTGGCCCTGAAAAATTTTGCTGAATTACTTGTGCATTGAGGCAGGAGGGATGTCCCTGGGATCAAAACGCAACTTTCCTGCTAAAAACACAAACAACAAAACCCACTATCCCAAGCAGGAGGGGCTGCTTTCCTATTTACTCTGTGCTGAGAGCAGTGAAGAAGACCCCAAAGCAAGCGGCAGCAAACACCAGCAGCACATTTTTGTTTCTTCTTATCAAAACCAGGTATGTTTAGTACCTTGAGCTCTCACAAGAGATGCCAGAGAAGAGACCCAAGGGATGTGCCAGGGCAGGCATGGGCTTGTGAGGACAAGTGCTTTACTCCAACACACCTGGCAAAATTTAACCTGGTTTAATAAGAAGTTCTATGTTTTCCACGTGTGCAGGCTGTGGACTTTGTCATGGTGAAGCCATTGTCCTCGTTAAACCTGCTGCCTCCCATTGTGTCAGTGGAGGCAGAAAAGAGGCTGCCCTTAGCTTCTTGGGTTTGGAGGTTTCTATCTGCACAGTGAAATGTTTCCATCAGGTGATGACTTAAAAATCTTCACAAGATCAGACCTGGTGGATGCATGCTCTCTCCCTTGTTCACCATGGCCTTGTACCAGGACACAAAGCAGACCCCAACCACAAAGCACCTTCCTACCTCTACCACAGTCCTAAAGTGTTTTTAAGAATTCTGTCAACACAGTTGGTCACATTCTATAAACACTGACCCTCCTCCTGAGCTAGGTGTTTAAATACTTTCAATTCCTACAAGTACTTCAAGAGCACCTCAAGCACAGGTATGCTGTGCTTGACATTCCCAAACTGTGACATAGAGACACAGCAATGCTCCCCATCCTACAGGGATGAGCTCTTGCACCACCTCAGCCCCAACCCCATCTAACCTGTTGTGTTGATTCCCAGAATGAAGTTCTGGGAAAGGACAAAAACCTGAACGTTAGTCAACCTGCTGCTCTCTGTGCACTCGAGTCATAGAACCACTGTGATTGGAAAAGACCTCTAACACCTCTTCCAACCCCAACCCAGTTCCACCATGTCCACTGCCCACATCCCTCAGGGCCACACCTCCACAGTTCTTGAGCACCTCCAGGGACAGCGATCTCACCACCTCCCATGGCAGCCTGTTGCAAATTTCCATAGCAGAGCCAGGCTATCAGCTAACCGCATTTGGAGAGATTCAAAGACATTTTGCAATATCACCTCTCCATCAGTTTAAAGGTCAGCTTCCTTAAATTGATAGAGGAGCTCAAGGCTTTGCTTGCTAATTGGCTGGAGGAGATGCGGGGTGCTCACATGTGGTTCTAGTGCCATAGGGCTGCACTGCATGTTAGGAAGAAAAGAGCATGGGACCTCCGGTTTCTTGTATACAAAGTGGATCTGGAAACAGCACCAGAGGTGAGCTGGCAATGCCTTCTCCTGAGGTTGTTTTGACCCAAGTACTATCCCACCTAGGATAGTAGAATCCTCAGTCTGGCCACCCCACGTCTTCATTTGCTAAAATAATGCTGACTTTGCTGAGCTTCCTTGTAAAGTGCAGTTCTCACCCTTGCTGGAAGTTTCCCACAGGCTTGGTTTTTGGTGGTTTTTTTTTTCAATTTGTCTGAAAGGAATATCACCCAGTTGTAGGGTTGCTTTCTGCAGCTTCAGGGCAGAATCATAGGAGGTACCTGAGGTTGGGCCCACCAGCACAAGGTATTCCTGCTGCAGACTTCTACAGCCTGTCCAGCTCCAGACACGCCATCTGCCCCCTGAGATGCTGTTCCCCATCTCCCAGCCCTCCTGCAACTCTCCGCCCAGCTCCCAGCCCCATCCACCTCCTCCTTACATCAGCCTCTTTCCCTCAGTTTTTATGCAGGCTCTCAAGGCATAACCTCACCTCACCCAATGTACTGAGGGGGAAATCCACCCAACCTACAGCAGGAGACACACAAAAACTGTTGCTGGTTGCATCTCGAAAGCCTTTGAACCAGACAAGGATAAGCCAGGCTGAGCCTGCTGGACTTCAGACCTGTCTGGGCACAGGCTTTTAAATCTGTTTGCTATGAGCAAACCTAGCAGAGAGTAAATAACAGGTCTGGGAAGACTGAAGCCAAGACTCATCTCTTCTGACCAGGGATCAGCTACGCTATACCCTGCACTCAGAATCACCTAGAAAGTGGGACATGGCCATGGTCCTCACCACGAAACCACCAGTCCATCTTTTTGCTCATCAAGAGTGCATTCAGATGTTTTATACCAGGCTCCACCCTAGAGTGAAGTTTTGTGCCCATAGAGATGTCATAACCAACTCTCACTTTCTACATACAGCAATAAGCAAAGAGTAAGGGCTGTCTGGAATTCACACCTGAATGAGTAATTGTTTTTATTATCTGTAGCAGTTAAAGTATTTTGCTGTTAACACTCAAGTTAAAGTAATTTCCCACATCAAGCCCAATGCCTGGCTCAGCTTGCAGCCCAGAGCGTGTATTGATCACAAAATGCAATAAAATTCACGATGCTAAATGAAGAGCAAAATCTTTTCCTCTCATCTGAAATGAAAAGCGTATCCACATTTCAGCTGAGACAGAACTGATTTTTCCTTCACAGTATCTGGTATGATGCTGCGCTTTGGCTTTAGGAGGGAGCCATCATTGATTACTCAGCAATGCTTTAGCTGTTGCTGAGCAGCACTGCATAGAGCCAAGGATATTTTTGTTCTCAGCTTCTTGCTGTCCTGGCTAAGGGATGGAAACAAGGAGGCGGGCAGGGATAGAATAAGGACAGCTGACCTCAAATAGCCAAAGGAATAACCCATACTATACGGCATCGTGGAAGGCAGAGGTTGGCCGGTGGGGAAATTGCTCATGCCTCATTTGTTTTATGTATACATTCATGTGTACACATACATGCATAAAATAATTACAACTATAATCCTTTTTTTCCTTTCTGTCTTTGTAAACACTTTGTAAAGTTTTTATCACAACCCCTGAGTTACATGTTGTGTTTGTTTGGTTTTCTTTTTTCCCCAGTTCTCTCCCCCATCCCACTGAGGAAGGGAGGAGTGAGTGGTGGCGCAAAATGCCAGCTGAAAAACCCTTTTTAGAGCAAACTGTTGATGGCTCCAGAAGCACCACAGGTGGTTACTGCTTCTATACACATCAAATAATCCATCACGCAATGAGCAGAGAAAGAGTAGAAGCTGGTATCAAATGAAACATTGGGCACATCTCTGCTCTGCTAAAGCCACATTAGCAGGCTGGGATGTCGCCTAGCCCAGGCACCTCTCACACCTCAGAAGTGCAGGCAAGCCAATTTAGCCCAGAGCATACATTTTACACCAAAACATTTAATGAACAGGCAAACATGTTATCTCCATTCCTCCACTATAGAAAAAAAAAAACTGTAGGAAAAGTTGGAATTGAAGCCACATCTGAGAAAGGTCCCAAATTCACAAGGCACCAAGGTTACACTGATTTGTATAGCTGTATATTATATATAGGGGAGCTCTTGAAGAATTATCTGGGCAGGGAGTAAAGCAGGAGCACAGACAATGGCCAGCAGGAAGTATCCTGCATACAGAAGCCACTTGGTAAGCCTGCAGCCCTCCCCATCCCCCTACCAGTAGAGCACAGTGAGGAGGAGGAGAAGCGGGAGGAAGAGCATCCCCAGCACCAGCAGGCTGGGGAGTGTAGTGGTAGCAGGGGGGGCTTCACGTGTCCTTGTGGCCTTCAGTGTCCGGTCCCACTGAGTGAAGATGGCTTTCCTGGCTCCACTCCACTTCCCTGGCCCTGTCAGGCGGAACTGGTAGGGGGTGCAGGGGCCAAAGAAGACCTTGAGGGCCAGTAGTGGGTCTGTGAGCAGGAGCTTGAGTACATTGGGCTTCACACCGATGTCTGAGGTCAACTCATTCATGTAGGTGATGTAATCAGTCTGCAGCGTGTCACTTTTCCCGAACCTTTGATAGAAAGGTAGAGGAAGAGAGAGACTGCTTTAGATCTTCTCGTTATTTCTCTCAACATGACATTTTGTGTTCTTGTTGCTTGAGGAGACCCTGTAACAGCAACGAGGATGGGCAGGGAGGAAATCCTCCTTAAATTTAGACATATTCAGTGCACGGTCAAAATAGCACAGGGATTTGGCAGAGAACACAGCTTTCTGTGCTCGGCAGCAGTCTTTTCCCATGACATTAAGGCAAGGGCTGGGAAATCTGCTCTCCCACAAAGCCTTGAGAAGGGGGATGATGTCAGTCTAGGGAAGGTGGCACTTGTCCCTGCCATCCCTACAACTGGGGAGCACTTGGGACATGGCCACACATCACTGCTGCTGGTGGTGGTGGTGAAGGAATCTGGCTGCCCTTGCAGCTCTGTGCTTTGGAACTTCCTGCAGTGCAACAGTTTCTAAAAACAACATAAAACATTGCTTGGGCCATATTCAGCTTTGACCATATTGATATTTGTCAAGTATTGCTTCACTATAATACGAGACACGTGCAAATAGGAGGGTAAACAAGACCTTTGTGTACTTTATGAAACAAAAAAATGTTACTGAAGAATGAGGGAATGCCCTGTTTTCGCTGGGGCCTCACTTTCTGTGCAAGTAAGAAATGTTTTTTTCAGACCGATAACACTCTACAAATGCTGCAAAGCAGCATTTTCAGATGGGAAATCTTACCATTATAGATTTTCTGCACAGATTCACCCAATTCAACAGCCCTGAGGCAGTTGGAAACCTGAGAACTGACACAAAGGAAACTGGGTAGGACCTTCCTGTGTTGGTCCCTGTGGGTTTGCTCATCTGGGACATGAACAGGGTAGTTCAGAAGGGTCTCCTTGCAAGGAACTTGCCCCTGCTGCAGCCCTCCCCATGCCCACATCCGTCCCACCCAGGCTGAGATGACAGCAAGTCTTTTCCTCTTCCTTCCTGGGCAGTGTCCTATGAGTACACCTACCATTTGATCTTATTCCTCTTCATCTCCTCTATGTCCTCCAGCATCTCACTGACCGAGGGGAGCTTGCAGAGCCCTGGAAGAGCAGGAAGAGTGTCAAAGGGTGGGATGCCCATGAGATCCCTCCTGCAGCAGGTGGGGTTCGTAGGGGTCAACTGAATCCTTGGGCACTTTTCTCTTCCCTTTGGTGTCAAGATCTGAGTTTGGATCAAACTTGAGCATTGGGGTTGTGATAAAACAGGTTGCCCTCTCCTTTAGGATGCATGGTGATGCCCAGGTAGCTGTCCCACCACAGGGACCTCACTGACATCTGCAGCTGATCAATAAGTGACTTATTCCCCATGGTGCAAGGCAGCCCATCCCAAGGAGAACCATTTACTGGTATTTCCAGCACTCATGCACTGCCCTCGTTTTTAGTTTGAACCTGTATATTGCTGATGGGAAATGCTTCTTCCCATTTAGGGACCTTAGCTCATTCACCTACCCTGAAACACCTTGACCGCCCAGCGGCACTGCACATCTGCTGTCGGGATGGCGGATCCAAAGGACTGGACCAACCCAATGACTGCCATGGTTGGCTTCTCTAGCTGAGGAGGAACAATGCATTTGTAGAGGTTAATCTCCTTGTTCCTGCTTTCGATGATGGATTCATCCTCCATGAAAGGAAAGGAGTGAGAGTAGCCAGTGGCAAAGATAACCACATCGAGGTCGTCCTGCACAGTCCCATCTTGAAACAAGACTGACTTTTCTCTGAATTCCTTCACATTTGGCTTTATCAGCACCACACCACAGGTGATGCGGCTCAGGATGTCATCATTCAACACCGGTTCCCTGCGGGATGCTCTGCAAGGAAAAAGTCTGAGTTAGCCCCTGCTGCTGGCCCTGGACAGGCTAGATTCCACTCTGCCCGGGACCAGCACTTATGGTGGCCTTGAGAACAGATGGCTTCATGCTTACCCATCCACCGGCATTAGGCCAAAGTCCTCATGTTTGTACTGCTGGTTCATGCCCCTGACATAGAGCCAGTCACTGACTGCTTTGGGGAGAAAGTTGTCCAGCCACGTCCAGAAGCGGGTGATGAGCAGCATGTCCCAGGGGTAGCCAAAGTTCCAGACACGGCTCATCACCCAGGAGCCACTTCGGGAGCTCAGGTAAACCTGGGGGATGATGAGACAGGGGTGAGCCACCCCCGTGGTGGCCACTAGCTCCAACCAGCCCTGGTTCAGGTCTCCATACCTGCGAGGCCACAGTGCTGAGCTCCACAGCAATGTCACAGCCAGAGTTGCCCAAGCCAATCACCAGCACCTTCTTCCCTCTGAACTTTTCTGGCTCCTTGTACTCTCGGCTGTGTAAGTAGGAGCCTTTAAACTTCTCTATCCCTGGGAGCAGGAAGACAAAAAGGGATAAGACATCAGTGAAGAAGTGTGTCTGTGTTAACCTTGGCTGCTCCCACTCCTGCAGGCATTGCCAGAGCATGTTTGGGAGTTGCTCACAGCAGAGGGATGCTGCAAACCTGCAGAAAGGTTTTGTCTCTGGATTCATTCAATATTTAAATGGGGAGGAGCATGAGAGAACAGGATAACTTTGTGTGGTATTTGTGTTCCTTAAAGGTATAACCCAGCATCACCCTGAGACACCAGACCAGCCACGGTCCATCCGCTTGGTGTGTCTTTGTGCCTTTGCACCAGTGATAGGAAAACTTGAATTTTTAAAACAGAAGGTGACAAAGGACGCAATGGGAGTTTTCCCAGCCAGCATCCCAAGACCTCACCTCCTCCAAACAGACCCCCAGCACCAAATACTTCTCATCACAGGAAGTTCTCCCACTGCTGATCCTGTAAGCAGAGGCAAAGTTTGCGCACAGCATTTGTACTAGAAACCATGGAAAAATGCCAAAAGAAGTGCTTTAAGAAACCCTTTAGTGAAGAAACTTCTATTAAATGGAAACACCCTGCAATAATTTTTCCAGGAAACATTAGCATTGCCTCCAGTAAAAACGCCCCTGCTTTGACATGGTTTGGATACAGTCTTTTGTCTTAAAAAAAAAAAAAAAAAAAGTTTTGATCTCCTGAACAGAGCTCACCCCTAACACCAATCTTTGATGCTGGAAAAAAAAAAAACATCCAACATTTGAATGTAAAGTGCACACGTGGCTGTGTGATGCTGAATCAAGTTCATTTAGTTTACCTGGGAAGTGGGCAAGAGGGAGGTTTGGGTAGACATGGTGTCCAGTGCAAACCATAACAGCATCGAAAACCGCTGCCTCTTCCTTCCCGTCTCTCCGTGTAACCACCTCCCACTGCCCCGTAGCGCTGAAGTCAGGGCGCTTCCTTATCTTGGTGACTGTGGTCTTAAAGGAAAGGGATAAAGGTGTAGAAAGCACTCCAGGAGACCCACTGCAGACAGGCATGCTCTGTCCTTGTCCCCACCAGACACAGTGTCACAGACCTGGCAATTATTTTGGATGGAGAAAACCCACCAGCATCCTCCCATTCCATGTGATTTTCCATCCCAGTAGTAGTGGTTTCTCCATATTGGTTGTTTATTTGACACAACCCAACCAGAAGCTGGTGAGACCCAATTTAACAAAACTAGCAAGCTTCTTCCCCAGGATGTCTATCCCAGGATTTTCTTTGAGACACAGCAGCAATGTCCATCCCGCCTACCTTAAAGCGGATGTGCTGGAGAAGGTCAAAATGCTGTGCGTAGTCACGGATGTACTTATGGAGCCTTGTGTTGTGTATATAGTTGGGGTAGTCATCAGGGAAGGGGAAGTCAGGGTAGCACATCATCTCCTTGCAGGAATTGGTGAAGACAGTGCGGTAGATGCTAGCTCTGCCTTCCTCTGGCTTTTCCTGGAGGGACAGGAGAGGACTTTGGTTAGAGGGGTCAGTTATGGACACCCCAGAAAGTCATAAGCCACAGGCAAGAAAATGCTAAGCTAGTCTGGATATAACCTCACCCAATGTCATGACTGCTAGGAGAATCTCAGTTTTGGAGACCTGAACCACAATATCTGGCTCTCAGAGCAATGTCTTCACCCACCTCCTCCAATGCTTTCTATGCCCTCCTTTCCTGGCCATGTAACTCCCAGCCTGTCCTTCCACTCAGTTTCACCAACCAAACCTAGAAACGAGGCCACTGAGCACCCCAGAGGGTCATCCCTAGCCCACTGCTTACCTTTCTCATACGCTCACAGGCTTTGTGGGCTCATCCTGAAGAGCCATATACAGTACATCCCTGTTATAACCTCAGAGTCCTCTACTCAGTATAATATCTTCTGCATTTACCTTATAGAAAGATCACCTCTGTTGATGTCTGTGCTCAGCTTTGCGCAAACGCAAAACAGCTGCTATTTTCAACTTCAGGCCTTGCTTCTTATAAACATCACTTGCAGAGTTCAAAGTGATATTTCCGTCTGCTTAGCTGGAGCACACAGGGGACATTGCAGACTTATTGCTCAAAAGGGAAAAAAAATCCAGGTAACATCAGCAGCTAAGAAAAATACTTTGTCCTAAATCTGCTCTGCCTCTGGCCTGCGGGCCAACAATCTTGTGACACAGCAAGGATCACATCCCTGCCAAACTCTCAGATGTCCTGTGTACAAGATGATCCAGCACTGTTGTCTGGACACCGGGGCATTCAGAGCAGCTGCTGACTTTTCTGGCTGGGATTTACATCCCCAGCTTTGCCCTGGTGGTATTAGGGGGATGGACGCACCTGCAGCAAGGGGACAGCAAATTTTGGGTGACCACCTCACTGCAGGTTCACCTGCTCAGTAAGCAGAATGGAGCAGATGTGCAACATTTACCACATCTTTAATAAGCCACAGAGGTAATTAATAAAACAGTGTTTCACCCATGCAGAACTGCCACAAAACTGTCTTTTCTGCTACAAAAGTTTGGTTAAAAATACACCTAAGGGAGCTTGAAGGAAACTGAAGAACAGAAGGTTATTTGCATCAGAACAAAAGAAAAGAAGAAAGAAAAAGAAAAGGAAGAAAGCCCCACCAAATTCTAAGTGTTTTATTACTCTTGTCAAAATAAGAGTCTCACTGGGGCTGGAGGTGTCCGTGTTCCAGCTGATTCTAGAATCAGCAAACCCAGATCAGTATCTCGCTGAAATTACTCTGTACAGCACTTTTGCATTCCAAAAATGTTCTGGGTTAAAAATTAAACCAACTCCTCAGCTTTCTAGTGATAGAATGTGTGGGCGACCCCAGGCAGAGCTCATAGGAACACCTCAAAGCCATCAAGTATAGTAACCAACTGACCCCTATGAGTGCAGATGTGCCCCGAGGGGCCGTGAGGAGAGCATTCTCCAGGCACTTAAGAGCTGGTTAGCCATTGCCCAGAGCTAACCTGATGTCTTCACCCCTCTACCGTGAGTTTTAACGTGATCATTTCCTCCACTTGAGTGGCTCTCGCAGCCACCACTCCCCAAACTCTCTCCTAGCCCCAGGCTGCCAGAAGAGCACGCAGCCCAAGCCCCTCACCGTGTAGCACCAGAGCCCCCCGATGTCCTCACTCTGCTCGAAGCAGATGGGCTCCAGCCCCTCTTCCAGGCAGCACTTGATGGCTGCCAACCCGCTGATGCCTGCGCCCACCACAGCCACACGTCGCACCATGGTGTCCTGCAGGTGGGAGAGAGGCTGTCACAGTGCCATGTTGTGATCCTAGGCCGTCTGGCCCCATGCAACACCTGGAGCTTTTTCATCTGTCCTCGCTTACCTGTGCAGCCTGCAGTGCCTCAGAGCTTGGAGTGGGAGCTGTGGGAGGAGAGGATCTGTGGCTTTGAGGCGTTTCCTACCAAGAGAAAAGCTTTTATCTGGCACAGCATGGGAGGCAGGGCCAGAGCCCTGCAGCAGTTTGGATGGCTGCCTTCTGTTGGGTGGACTTTAGCAGTCCCACAGCTGCAACATGAGGAGCTGCGGGCTCAGAGCTCTTGAGTTGGGAAATCAGTACTTTGGGCTAGAATTACTTCCAAACAAGAGGTCAAGGACACAAGCAGCTCCCCCCAGCACCTCTGCAAGGCTGCATGGCAACATCCAAGTCACTGAGAGCAGATGAGGCTCTGGAAAGGCTGCACAACAAGTTCTGAGTTCAGTTCTGGGCCCCTCACTACAAAAAAAGACATCAAGGCCCTGGAGTGTGTCCAGAGAAGAGCAGCAGGGCTGTGCGGGGTGTGGAACACAAGCACGATGGAGAAGAGAAGCTCAGGGATGGAGAAGAGGAGCTCAGGGGACACCTTACTGCTTTTGCAAAATGCCTGAAAGGAGGCTGTGGTGAGGTGGGGGTTGGCCTCTGCTCTTGGGTAACAGCAACAGGATGGGAAGTGATGGTCTCAGGTTGTGTCAGATAAAACATTTTAGTGGAACCACGCATGTATTTTGATACGTAATCGTTTGTTGACAGGGTAATTTTATTTTTTCTTCTTTCCAGAATATAAAGTACTTAAAATAGCAAAGATTGAAGTAATTAGCTTTTTAAAATTGTTTTTAATATACATATCTGGGCATTAAAGAACCATAAAGGTAGGAAGTGACCTCTGGAAATCCCCCAGTCTGATCCTCCAGTCCAACTGCCATGTTAAGGCATGTTCCCAGAGCAGGTTGCCCAGAAAAGCATCCAGGTGGATTTTGAATATCTCCATATCAGGAAACTCCACAATATCTGTGAGCAGCTTGCTCCAGTGCTCTGTGGGTTAAGTAGGAATACAGAAGCTTTAAAACATCTGAGGTCAAGAGCTTTACTGTACTAATATAATAAGAAAATTCTTGATTTTCTATTTTTCCCTATAGGCTTTTTGGAGGAGATACTCTGCAAGAAAAAGTTATTTACAGCTAAGATACTATGTTATTTTTGTACAAAGGATAAGGATGTTGTTATCTATCACTGCATAAAAACAAATTCTTTGGGCTACTGTTACAATTCAGAATCATCTGCATGCATCTAAACTGGCAAAGGAAGATCGATGAAGATACAAAATCTTAAGGTCTTCAGCACTCACTATACAATCTGCATTCAGAAAATGGAGAACACACAAAGTTCAAGAGAAATTTAGAGCAGCTTTAGTGCTCCGGAAGTATTTCAGAAAATGGCAATCTTCAAAACTGGCTAAAGGAAAGAGCTGCCCTTGTCATTCAGTCTTGGCATAGGACTCACAGAAAGATGAAACAGTTTTAAGCATAGCATTATCAAGATTCAGGCTTGGTACAGGTGTCAGATAGCTAGGTGTATTTACCAGGAATACAGGACACAAATAGTGACCATTCAGCATTATTACAGAGCTTATAAATTAGGGAATAATGAGAGAGAACTATTTGCAAAAGCGTGCAGCAGTAGTAGTTCTCCAAGCTGTTTCTAGAGGCAAGAAAGCACATATACTATACAGGCAAACAAAAGCAGCTTGTGTTGTTCATTCACTGTGGAAAATGAGAAAAACAAATTTTTACTATTAAAAAAACCCTGTCACTTTATTGCAGTCACATATGAGAAAACGCCAACAGGTAAAAATATACGAAGAGATGAAAAACACCGCTTCTGTAATTCAAGCTTGGTATAGGGCAAATGTCACTTCTGAAAAAGCAGCCTCATCTTTCCAGAAGCATCTGGCTGCCATTGTCCTTCAGACTGCCTACTGAGGAAGGAAAGCTAGGAAAGCAGCTCACATATTGAGATCTGTGATTAAAAATTCAGTCACGTTTCCGTGTTTATGTCATCCAAAAGAGATTTTAAAAATTGAGAAATGCTACAGTGAAAATTCAAGCTTATGTAAAAATGAAACAAGCTTGTAGGTATTACTGTGCCTTCAGGGAAGCACCACTTTATGTCCAGTAAAGGTATCAGTCTCGTAGATATGCTCTTCAACTTAAGGAATATTACAGGAAACTGAAGGGAGATTGCATAAGAATTCAAGCTGCAGTTTGAGGCTATCTTGTCAAGAAGCAAATAAAAAGGTGAAGGAAGACTGCAGTATTTCTCCAGGCACAGTATCGAATGAGGAGGACCAGGGCACATTATTTAATTATCTACTGTTGTCATTCAAAAACACTTCTGCCTCTGACAGAATTGCCTGTGGTATGCACAGAAGTTCCTGCAAGTTAAAAAACCAGCAGCGTGCATACAGGCAGTCTACAGGGATCATAAAGCACGCAAAGAGCTTAAGCTTGAACACTGAGCTGCTGTCAAAACTCAAACAGCTTTTAGAGCTCATGCTGTAAGAGAAAAACAGAACTTGCAAGACTAGTAAAGGCAAAGTCTGACCTTCCTAAAGATAAGAGCAGTCGTGCTTACTTTACAAGCAGCTTTTCACAGTTACCAGGTTCAAAAGCAAATTCAAAGACAACGTGCTGCAGCAGCTGCAATACAATCTGCCTTCAGAAAATTCATGGCTCTGAAAACGCTCAGACTTGTGAGCCATGCTGCGCTCACTATCCAAAGGTGTTACAGAGCCAGCATCATAAGCCAAAAACAACGGCAGGAGTACGCTGAGCTGTGGAACAGTGTAGTACATACTTCAGCAAGAAAAAAGATTCAAAAGCAGCACAGCCTTGCAACAATTCCTCAGTCCTATTACAGAATGCATGTCAATCAATTAAAATTTAAAAAACTAAGGCAATTCACTCTAGTGATTCAGAGATACTTTACAGCTTACTTTATTAAAAAAAAAAACAGCGTGCACTTTATCTAAAGACAAAGGTGGCTGTGCTAGTCTTGCAGTCTGCATGCTGTGGGATGACTGTGAGGAAACAGCTGAGGGAATTAAGCAAAGCTGCGACAACAATACAAGCAGCCTTCAAATCGGACCTAGTGAAAAAGGACAGTTTAATATACATACGTGGGCATTAGGGAATCATAGAGGTAGGAAGCGACATCTGGAGATTCCCCGGTCTGATCCTCCGGTACAACTAGCAAGACTGGAGATACGTGTCACAAGGAAGATTAGGTCTTTTCTTCAGATGGCTGTGCAACATAGAAAACTCGCCCAACTTAAAAGAGCGGCTATTACATTACAAGCCTATTACTTAATGCACAAAGCTAAATCACAGCACGTGAGCTATAAAAAAGCAACTGTTGTCTTACAGCAGCAGTACCAATCCCACCTGATTGTAAAACACCACAGAATGATATATTTAAAAACCCAGGAAAAAAACTATTATTGCGCAGGCTACAGTCAGAAGATTCAATGTAAAGAAGATGTTCCAGCAAATTGAAGAACGAACAATAAAAATTCAGGTACTTATACATGTATAGGATGTCGTTTGTTGTTCGCTGTTTACTTGTTTTGGAAAACTGCTACTATTTCAAAGGATTTTGAAATCCTGCCAAAATCAATTGTACAATAAAATCTTATGTCCTCGTCTACTTTGCCGTTCCATTGACATTGTTCTTCGTACAGCTCTGAATCTTACCCATGTTAAGGTATTTCTCACTCTGACCAAGTTTTGCGTAGTTGTTTATATCTCACAGTTACATTGGCCTGCCAGTGTGGAAAGGTGTGGGAAGGAGAGAGAGTGTGCTGACTTGAAAATTGGCTCGTGATTTCCCAGGGCCTGACAGATCATGCGAGACTGTAGGAGACCTTAAAAAAAAAAAAAAAAATGTTTTTCTAAGCTACAAGATTATGATGGAACAAAGGGTTCTTATAAGGATGACTTATAGAAAATCTGACCTGCTATTTTAAGGGAGGTAATTTTGTGAGATTTCTTACCGTCGTGTCATCAACACATAATAGTGTGCATCTCATCCATCTGAACAGTGTTCATCACAGCATCTCCCTGAAATGCTGTTCTGCCGTGCCTAGGAATTGCATTTTCTTAGAGCACAGTCAAGAAAACCAAACCAATAACCTCCCGCTCTCTGTTACCAGACAGATGTTCTAGATGTATTCCATGTTTTGACACATTGAAAAGCAAACACTGAAAATTCAACTGTTGAGTGTTGATGTTAAAGATTCCTGAGAAGCAGCATTCTTTTTGTATTCCCTTCTATTTCCTGATAAATGTACATCAGTGTCACTGAAGTGCTCTGCTTAGAGGGTGAAACAGAAACACTGTACCCAAAAAACTGAATGTAGTTTCTCAAAGTTATCTTGCCTAGGCTTTATGAGCAGAACAAAGACCATCACTACTAAAGTTTCACTCATTTCTAGCAACCACGTTTCCTTCACAGCATAAAAGTGCAAAGGGTGGAAAAGAAGTACATTTCAAGTAAGTGGGCAAGTCCAATGAAAAGTATTTAATCAGTACTAAGATGAGACTTTCTGGTCCTTCTAAAGTGTTCCTGAAGTAACTGTAAAGCCAACCTACATGACTGTAATAGCAGCTTCCAGGTCAACAGATGATGTGTGTGCATGTCTACAAGCATGACGATGAAGTAATGAAAATGGAAGCAATTCTCAAATGAGAGCCGAGAGCAGGAAACTCAATGCTTACATTTATAAGCTAATCTTTTAAGTGTAATTATTACTGTGATTTACAAAATTTAAAATCGGTACTAATTGTTGATAGCGACTTGCTTGTTTTGTGTAAAGCTGTGAAAGATTAGTGTGATACTTTCTTTTCCTTTTGCATTTCATTTTTGCTATTTTAAGCCTGTTGGTGCCCTGCTTAGACGAGCAATAAGAGAAAAGTCTCTCTCGTGCACAGAGTCAAACACAATCTGCCTAATTTTAGTTATGAACTTCAAAATGCAGCTATCCGAGCAAAGAAGGGAAATTAAAACGGGTTTCTTAACTATTTGTTATGAGCAGGCATGTTAGTGAAGTTCCATTTACAGGGTCAGTTTAATTAGGGTATGGAACACAAGTGTCTAGGCACTACGATACCACAAAGAAGCTCATTCTCGTTTTATATAGTCCCCAAATCAACAGATGCTAATTGAAACAAATTGAGGAAGTGATGGTAGTACAGATAGGTGCACTCAGATTCCTAGCCTGACCGATAATGGTCAGATTTACAAAAACATTTGTAATACTTCAAGCATAACAAGGACAGGTACAAAACCCTGTGCTGCATATTCTGGATCCGCTATTTTGACTGCGGCATAGGCAAGATTCACGAGATAGGCGTAGGCGAGATACGTCGTGCCTCTTGTCGTCAATGTCATCAGCACTGTTATTTCTGTAGCAACAACATGCTGGCCTTACACCCACCTCTTGCTAGAAGCATAACAGACAACACCTGTGAAGATAGTCTTCTGATCACCCATCACATTCAGATCGCAAGGAGGAAAACCGTCCATATGAATGAGAAGCGAAGCGGCACTCTGCCTCTCCTTTACCGACTTTGAGCCAGCCACCTCAGCAGCCAGATTAGCTCAGCACTTTTGATGGGCTTTTGACCGCTGAGGTAAAAAAATGTCTAAAAATCACATTGCTTATGTATCCATTATCACAAATATACGAAACTAGGTATAGCCACGCTCTTCCTCTCTCTACTTCTTTTGCCCTCAATCTAAGCACAGCTCAGATTTCCTGAGGCAGTAGCAAGAACAGAGCCTGTTATCTTGCGCGTCCCAAGACAACCTGAGGTTAAACTACTCCAATAGCCCGTGTCATTAAGCACTTAATAAAAAATGAGTAATGGAGCACTTGCTGCTCAAAACAGAGGGATGCACTTTTTCATTCAGTAACACAGCGTTCTGATTTTAAAAAATCAACGAGCAGAAACTGAACAGCAAAGTTTTGTTACCATTAAGCGAGGTATTCTTTATAGGCAAGGCTGGGGCAGCATCGCGATAACTCTCCGAGAATGCTCCGCCAGTCGATTGTTCTGAAATGGGTTGTATTTCCACATTCATTACCTTCCCACATTCATTAACCTACCCACCCCCAGTGACCGTCGAACAGGCATGGCCTTATTTTGTGATCTTTGATGTCATCTGGTGTCCTAGCATTGCGACAGTCCGTCCTCAGTGGTTGTTTGTCTGTTTAATCAATTATTCTGGGCAAAATTCAATTTAAAAAGGAACTGTGCTCTTGCTTGAGCTAATGACTATAAATGATTATTTTATATGTACATTAACAAAAAAAACCTCATAACTTGTCTTGTTTATTTTTTAATTAAATTTAAATGAGTATGGATTATACAAAAGATGCTTTTTGACTCACCTTTCGCATGCAATTAATCATAGCTCAAAGTTCAGTTCCTCCTTTCTTATCATCTGACCATCAGAAAAGCAACGTGAGGTGCACTTTCCAAGAGTCCAGCAAAAGGCTCTTTCAAAGAAATACCAAGTCCTCTCGCAGTGTACTTCAGCTAGCTCAACGACTGGAAGTTTGTTGTGTCATTGACTGGAATACGCTGCTGTTCCTAAGGCAGCAACAGCTCACACAAATAATGGTAAGCCCTGTGCTGTTATGCTATTTGTCTCCCAGAGCAATTCCCTGATTATGTTCGAGTAAATGGAAGCCTTTTGCAAGCTGCAAGACGACCTGTCACTGAGCCTGCTTCTTCTCCCAGAGCACGTTGCAATGTATCACACAGTCTCGGCAGGATCTCTGCTGATGGCTGTGAAAATACATCCGTAACAACGCACAATAAGAACATTTGCAGTTCTACAATTATAAATAATACAAATGAGTGCAGTCTAACTCTCAGGATTTAAACCTAAGAATGAAACTGCTACGTAGTTTATGTGCATTTTATCGCTGTAGGCTTTTCATAGTGCCTGTGTCCAACTAAAATCTCACAGAAAGTCTTCCTACCAATTTATAGGACATGGGAACGTAACCCAGAGCATGCAGCACAGAAGTGTTTGCAAAGCTCTCCTTCTAATCCACCTGCCTGTCATTTTCTGGCACGTATCATTCACCCATTTGGCCATTGGTCACATTGCAGCTCTGGTATTTCCACCACCATCTTTAGTCATGTTTTCTCTGAGATCAAAAGGTTTAACAAACGTTCTTTTGCTGGTTGGTTTTTGAGGTTTTGGTTTGGTTTGGTTTGTTTTTTGTTTTTTGGGTTTTTTTTTTTGGACTAGGGGCGAGGGAAAGCACATGAAGCACGTGGCAGGGGTCTCTCCAAACCATCCAGGCCGGGGCGTTCTCTGGAAGCGTCATTCTGTGTCATTCCATTTGCGTCAAATGCTAAGCGATCCGTTTGAATCGGGTACGATTATTTAACTTGTTAACGATCCCAACAACGAGGCGAGAAGGAGAAGCGCGTAACAAACTGTAATCTGAAGCGTAAATTCAGTCCGTAATTCAGATCTGGAGCCCACGTGTCGAGCTGTCAGAGCCTCGGGCCGGCCCTAACCAGACCCAGCCTCGCTAACGAGCGCGAGGTGCCGCGGGGCCGCGCACAGCCGCGCCTCGCCGGGAGCTCGGGGGCAGAGCCCGCCTCAAAGCCTCTTAAGGTCCGCCGGAGGCGGCTGGGATTCACGAGGAGGTTCGCGGAGATCCTCAGCTGCGGGAGATGGAGCGGGTTGTGTTTCTTCATCCTGCTGTAACGCTTCTGGGGCTGAAAAGCAATGCGAGGGGTGGCTTTTAAAAGGAAGCCTTGGGATTCTGTTTAACGTTCGGTGTTGTTGCTTCGTTTTGTTTCAGGCTGTAGCGAGACCGCGCGCAGTAAGGATCAGCCCAACATGTGCGCAGTTCCGAAGGTAACGAGACAGCGGAGTGGGGGAGCCGTCCGATGTTCTCACCGCTGTTTTTTAGGACCGGTGTAGGGCTGCCGCCGGGCTCTCCCGGCTTTTCGGAGCCGGAGTACCGTCACTGCCCGGTTTCCATCTCATTTTCGGTAGGTGCCGCTGCTCGGTTCCCCGAGTCCCAACGCGGTGCTTTCAGCCCCCTGGGGTTTGTCGGCGGGCGCTTCGGATCCTCCCGCCGTCATCGGTGGGAGCGAGCGAGACGGGGCCTGTGCGCTGCTGGAGGTGAGAATCAGCACGAATGGCTGCTAAGACTGAAGTCTGTCTTGCAGGAGGAGAGTCGCAGCGGAGCCCTTCGTTGGCCCCAGCCGGCGAGCGTTCGGGGTCCCAGGTAAGCGCTCTGTGCTCGGGGTTTGCGTAGGGCTGCAGCTCAGAGTGCCAGCGAGTAGGATGGGACCGCGCGTGTCCTCCTTCCTTTCCCCCAGTGCTATATAACTTCAGGAGCACCATCTCGTGCCCTTTATGGAGAGACGGCGGGACAGCTTGCGTGACTGCGGATGGCGATGTGCTTTTTAGGCAAGACAGATCGGTGGCGGAGCCGCGGTTCGCGTTACAGAGCGGGACGAGGAAGCAGGTAAGACCTTCGTGCAGCTGGCCGTGGCTGCTTCTCGGCTCTGCAGGTCGAGAAGGACGGGAAGTCTGTGGTCTGGCAGATGGCGATGAAGATGATGGGGCGCCGGAAGCGTCTCCTTTCGGAGGAATGGATGAGAGACTGACGGGTGCCCGGTGTCCTCCTCCGGGAATGAGATGATCTCTGCAGGGCCCTTTACAATTCCTGTTCAATCCTCAAGTTCTGATATTGCTGCAGGGTGAGGGTGAGGTGTGGGGCTGTTTCACAGTATCAGTGACCTAAGTAGACAGATGGCTACAAAGGAGTTAGGTTGATGCTCCTGGTGACTTTTACCAACTACTGCTAGGAAAAAAGTCTACTAGGAAACTAAAAAAAAATTAAAATGCTTAGGAGTTTTCCTTTCCTGAGATCTAGAATAAGGCCAAAACAGTCTTATGTTTTCATAGGAATGTGGTAAATTATCTCCTTGTGGGGATAAGGTTTTACTTGCATTTAAGGTAATGCCTTGTAATGTGCACCACATTGAATTAGTGGGCATGCAACATTAAAAATTTTACATTTTAAAATTGGTAAAATTAGGCCTCCCTTTTAAGAGGTGTCTTTCACTTCATTTGTCTTGTTGCTGAAGCAAAGCTGTGTAGGAGGACTCGAGCTACTCTGTGCTTGTTGCAAGGTATGCCCCAAAAATGCTGGTAGCAACAATGTTTGCTTCTGTGTGCTTCTGGGAAGCAGGTGATGATGCATCCATTTCACAGACCAATTACCAGCTCAGTGCAGTTGTTTGGAAAGAGTAAAAGTAGAAGTGCTCTGCTTTACATGTAGCAGTAAGCATGCCAAGGAATATCTGTACTAAAATGAAAGAGTTAGAACTTAGTGAGCTGAAGTTTCTTGGGTGGAGTGGATACCTGTCTTTCTTCAACTTAAAAAGAATCCTTACCGCAAATAAAGGGATGCACCAGCATTTCTGTGCTCTGGACTTACTTCCTTGCTGCTAACATGAGCTTATTTGTCTTGGGGAATAAGAAAGAGGAGATGAGTTACCTCTTCTGTGATCAGCCAGTTAGTGCTTGATGTTCTGGAAAAGATTCAGAAGCCAGACCTAAATCAAGAAGAAAAAATTGTAGATTATCTGCTTCAAAAAACTCTGGTTTCCTTTCTTTAAGATTAGCTCACTGAGAATTTTCTGGTTTCTTGCTCGGTAACTCCAACTAGTGCATTGTGAGCAAAGCCTTTGTGTCAAATCTCAGTGAGTTAGTTTCTGCAAACCTTCATCCTACACTGAGGATAAACTCTAATGCAAACAACAAATGTCCTATTCTGCATTTACTTTTTTACCAAAAGAAAAGCAACTGTATTTGGATTTTACCTTTGCATTAAATGTATGTCTAGTGTGTTCCTCCATCAGTGAATAGTCAAAAGGATTTCCTTTGAAAACCTTTTAAGACAAATCGTATATAAAAGCCCTGATTCTTAGTTTATGGGGGGTGGGTGACAAAGAACATCATCTTTGTTTATACTGAGCACTGATCCCTAATCACAGAGCATGTGAGGGAGGAAGCTCTGACCTTTTCCATTTTCCATATTCAAGTGTGGTAATCATGCACGTAATCATCTCACTTGTGCATTGACTTGAGTAACCAAACAGAAGATAAATCCCTCCCTGCAAGCATACGGCATGCTTGGTGGTTTTTTTTTCTATTTGAAAAGCAATAAAAATAAACTGTACAATGACAGCGTAGGTTTCTTAAACTTCTTTACATGCTTCTGTGGTTCATAGGTTCTGAAGTACTTGACCCAACAAGAACCAGGGGTAAGAAGGAAGAAAAGTGAGGAAACAGCAAGGGTTCAGATGTGATCTCACAAACCTTACTGCTTACACTGTAAGCTGTTTAGATGAGCAGGCCACTCTGGCCTCAGAGAAGTTGGCAGAACTGCTTATCCTTCTAACCATGTTTCCTAAGAGACAAGATCCCACAGACTCGGTGAGCCTAGCAAAAAAGCACAAGAATGGGTCAGTTGACTCCGGAGGAAGAAAAATGAGCCTGCTGTGTGGCACTGCTGGGGAAACAGCCAGGCTGACATGCTTTTTTTTTGTAGTTTTAAGTGGATAAAACTGATAAAGTAAGATGTCAAACAAAAGTACCTTCATGAAGTCATTGTCTGACTTGCTGAACCCTTATCTCAGTTATTTATGGTGAGTTAGGATATCGGATCTGAGGTTTTACATATAAAAGCTGCAGGCACAATTTGCTTGATTCCAAAATGGGGCAGTTACCTACTTCACAAAAGACATTTAATTGCTGTATCCTTAACAACAAACTGGCTTCCAGCTGAGTGCTAGTCATGAGTTTGCAATGGCAATTTTTTTACCCTCCAACTCAGAACTCAGTGTGCTTTGCTTTACTTATCTTTCTAAAAAAAACCAAACCAAAACAAAAAAAAAAAACACTAGGGAAAATCCTTTTTTTTGCGGCCCAGAATGTTAACACCACACTACATTCCCTGCTTTGAGAATTCTTAGTTTTAATTACCCCTCAGAAGAGCCATGCCGTTAAGAAGGCCTGCCTGCAA